CAGCGAGAAATCGCAACAGTTCGAACTAAGAAATTTTTGCCGCAGATGTGAACAAGATTTAACGCAGTGCACAACTGTAAATATACACAAAAAAAAAAAATAATATCTATAATAATAATAAACAGCAATAAATGCAAGCTTTTGCATAACTTAACATCATATTATGCTGATAAACTGCCTCCGACTAGCTGCTCAATTTATGCATGCCTCAAAGTCATCAACGTGCAGCGGCCGTGTCATTCGAAACAATAAAAATAAGCATAAAAACGAATATGCATAAATAAATAAAACTATACGAAACGAGCAGCGCCAGCTAAATAAATACGCTTGCAGAACTATTAATTACTTTGCGAATTTCACAAATTCATTTAGTTGCTGACAATTGTGCTAATAAGAAATAACTTAAAGTTTTACAACCTCTGCTACTGACTCTGTAACAGCCTCTGTTACTACACTCTGTTACTGACTCTGTTACTACACTCTGTTACTGACTCTGTTACTACACTCTGTTACTAAGCTCTGTTAAATAGACCAAAAGTTATATACAACAAATTGTGATCCATAGAACTTGAAATGTGATACATAATTTATCCTGTTAAATGCTGCGATTACATTTTGAAATTCACAAAGATAAATACAAAAAAATTTGCACAATTAGCAATTGTATCAAGTACTAAAAAAACTATTAAGATGAACTTGCATCTAATATGTTGTATGTATATTCATTTCAAATTAACTTCTTATACAAAAGTGTTTAAGCCGTTTTATGGTTTATGTGTCCTGGATCAAGGAAGAAGATTTCACCGAACCCATAAAGTGTTTATATATTATTCTGTCAAGTTGTTTGCGAACGCTTCAATCTCAGAGACTTTAAGAGCTAGGAGCTTAGATTTGGAACTTAGCTCTTCTTTCTGTGCATATCAAGTATTTTTTCCACTCAACGACAGCGCCAATGTTTCAACAAAATTGTTAAATCTCGATATTCTGATTATGTTTCTTATGACTATTTCTCTTAGCTTTTGTCTAACATTATTCCTGTCCAAATGTTGTTTGCATGTACTCAGAATATTTTAGTTTTTAGATAGCAGCCCCGTTCTCAGCTAAATTTTAAAAAAAATTTGATATATCCGGATTTTATAGTCCCTATCTGTTAAATAAAATGGAATAAGGGTTTCACTTGAAAAATCTCTGCCTTTAAAATAAGCTAATTCATGTAAGGCTAGCTAAATGAAATATTTCTTGCAATTCTTTATAGATACATTAATCCCATTGCTAAAATGTTGTTGTTGTCCTTTTTTTTATGTTGTTATTTGAAACAGTTTCAAATCGATTCCACCCAATCTAATGGTGCGATGGCGCAACAACACTGACGCCATGATCGAAGCCCAGTATCCGACAGCTGGTGAATTCGAATACATGGAGTGTGGACCATCGCCGCCGGCGGAGAGTGCGCCGAGCATGTACGATAGCTTTGAGGAGCCAACAAGTGAGCTGAGCGTCCAGATCTGCAATGATACGCTGAGGATTAGTCTAATTGATCAGATGAAGAGCGCCGCCGGGCGAGTGCGCCTGCTGGAGGATATTGAGCAGGGCAATGTGGTCGCCGAGGGCCTGGGCGCACACTTCGAGACAGCTTCGAAGCTGGAGAAGAATCTGTGCTATTTGTGGGCAGCATTTCTCAAGCGCTGGGATCTGCTCGAGGGTCTGCTGAAGGCGGGCGCCGATTTGCACTTTTGCGATCAGAATGGCATATCGGCCCTGCATCTGGGCGCCTTCAGCGGCTGCCTGGCCACGCTGGATCTGCTGGTGACCAAGGGCATCAATGTCAATCTGCAGCCAAAGTGTTATACGCCGCTGCACTGCGCCGCCTTTGGCAATGCCGCCGAGGCGGCCAAGTTTCTCATCCATAGCGGAGCGCTCATCACCAAAGACACGAACAAGCCCAACTGCGAGGAGAGCCTGCTGCACTGCGCCGTGCGCTCCAATGCGCTCGAGTGCCTGCAGCTGTTCATTGGCGAGGGCGCAGACGTCAATTCGCTGAAGCCCAATGGCACCAATGCCATACACCTGGCCGCGGATCTGGGTCATCTGCAGTGCCTGGAGGCATTGCTGAATGCGCCCAATGCCGATGCCAATGTGCGCATCTGTATACGCGAAAAGGAGTCCACGGCTTTGCATCTGGCCGCCGACGAGGGCAATGTGGAGTGCGTCGATTTGTTGCTGTCGAAGGGTGCCGACGCCAAGCTAAAGAATCATCGCGGCTTCACGCCTCTCCATCTGGCCGCACGCACCTCCAGCCTCGAGTGCGTTGAGTCGTTGCTGCGCAACGGCAACGCGGACGCCAATGCGGAGGACTTTGATCATCGGACGCCGCTGCATGCTGCGGTGGGCAAGTCCGAGAACGCCTACGATATCATGGAGACGCTGATCCAGTGGGGCGCCAATGTCAACCATAAGGACATCTATGGCTTTACCGCACTCCATCTGGCCGCCCTCGATGGGCTTGTCCAGTGCGTCGAGATGCTGATATTCCATGGCGCCGATGTCACAACCAAGTCCAAGAAGGGCACCTCCGCCTTGAATGTCATCACACGCAAGACGCCCGCCTCGGTTGCGATGATCAGGCAGAAATTGGATGCGGCCATCACACTGCATCATTCCCAGGTGAATGACACAATTCCATGGCCATTTATTTACAATTAACCAATCATTTGTTATATAGGATCCTGTCAATCGCGAGGTGGAACTGGAGCTGGACTTTCGCCAGCTGCTGCAGCATTGTCATCCGCGTGAGATCAGCTATTTGAATACATTTGTGGACGAGGGCCAAAAGGAGATACTGGAGCATCCGCTGTGCTCCTCATTTCTGTACATCAAGTGGGGCAAGATACGCAAGTACTACATTGGCCGCCTGATCTTCTGCTTTAGCTTTGTGCTCTTCCTGACGCTCTACGTGCTGACCGCATTGGCGCACAACTGTTACAACGGCAGCAAGGATGACAACACAACGATTCAGGCGCAGGAACTCTGCCAGAAGCAATCCATACTGGGCGATATGCTGCGCAATAATCCGTTTGTCATGGAAATGCAATGGTGGGTGCTGGTGGCCATTACCATAGTGGAGATATTTCGTAAGCTGTACGGCATAACGGGCTACTCCTCGTTCCGGCACTATGTGACGCAGGTGGAGAACATCATGGAGTGGTTCGTCATAACCAGCGTGTTTGTCATCTCGTACATATACACAAAGCAGACGTACACGTTCCAGAATCATATTGGCGCCTTCGCCGTACTGCTGGGCTGGACCAATCTGATGCTGATGATTGGCCAGCTGCCCGTCTTTGATGTCTACGTGGCCATGTATACGCGCGTCCAGGGCGAATTCGCCAAGCTGTTCATGGCCTATTCGTGCATGCTAATTGGGTTTACCATTAGTTTTTGCGTCATCTTTCCATCGTCGTCGTCGTTTGCCAATCCTTTCATGGGCTTTATCACTGTGCTGGTCATGATGATTGGGGAACAGGATCTGTCGCTTTTGATCAACGATCCCGATGGCAAGGATCCGCCCTTTTTGCTGGAGGTCAGCGCACAGATTACGTTTGTGCTCTTCCTGCTGTTCGTGACGATCATTCTGATGAATCTGCTCGTGGGCATTGCGGTGCACGATATACAGGGTCTCAAGAAAACCGCCGGGCTCTCCAAACTGGTGCGTCAAACGAAGCTGATCAGCTACATTGAGTCGGCGCTGTTCAATGGCTATTTGCCGACATGGTTGCGCAATCTGCTGCATTACACGGCGCTCGTCTCACCGCAGGCCTATCGCGTGGTGCTCTGCGTGAAGCCGCTGAATCCCAGCGAGAAGCGCCTGCCGCGCGACATTCTGATGAAGGCATACGAGGTGGGCAAAATGCGCAAGCACTTCGGCCATACCATCTCCTCCAAGAATCCGGGCGAAAATTATCTGTCGTACAAGAACAAGTATAACAATAACAATAGCTGTGCAGCAACCGCGTATGCATTGCCCGATCCGGATCCGGAATCGACACAGCTCACCACGTTGACGAGCAAAATCGATGACAATGCCGATCGCATCGAGTTTCTCACCCAGGAGATACAGGAGCTGAAGCAGGCGCTCATATCACAGCAGCAGCAGGCCAGCAAGGTGATCGACAAGCTGCTGATCGTCATCTCGAACCAACAGAAGCAGCAAATGCGCAAATAGCAGCTCCAGCAAGCCATTTACTATTATTATTATTATTATTATTATTACTATTATATATTATTATAATCATCCAAATCCACATTTAGTTCGAAACTCTTAGCCCTTAGACTCTTCTTGTGCGTGTGTAATTGCCCCAAGATCCCCGAAAAATGTTGATATTATATTGTAGTTAGCATATTTGATATCGCAGCGTCTGTCGCTCTACATATTTATGCTTTTTAGCCATATAACCTACTCTATTCTACAATATATATATAAATATATATATATATATAGATATACAGTTATACAATTAATAAAGACTAGTTGGTAGGCTTTATTAGAGGCGAGAAGCTGGCAGGTTTGTTTTTGGTCCGCATTCGGTAAAATGTGTCTGGTTTTAGGCTGTGTCTTTTTGTTGTTTGGCGTTGTCGTTTGAGATGCGTTGAAATGATAATTATATATGAAAGATATATATGTTTTATATGAATAAACTATCTAAATATCTATTGTTAAATTTGCCGACTTCCGATTCTTCCTATGGATGCAAACGTTCCGATATTGATATGAGTTTTACATAGAAGAATCGAATTTTCGACCTATCATTCCGGAGAGTTATCTTCCGGCCGGTCTTACAGATGAATCTTAAACAGATAGTCGGCAAGGCTAATGCCCTCGGCTATTGATACTGATCAAGAATATATATACACTTTATGTGGTCAGAGATACATTTCATAATAAAATGATAGTGCTCTCCACAAGCTTATACAAGTATAACTGAACAGAAAATAGGACTCACCTGTTCTCTGCACTCTTCCAAGCTGAAATATGAGATATCCTGGCCATTAATGGTTATCTTTCCTGTGCCGGGCAGACGCACTGTGACATCGGCGCGTGCCGTTTTGCGCAGACACTCGTAGGTCGTTACGTATTGTCGGCCCTGCTCATCAATCTTGGGCTTGGGCACCTCCAGTTGCTTGGATTGATCAATCAAGGGCTTCAGAAAGCGCTCAATAAATGCTTTGCTTTTGTAGGCATACGGCGATATGATTAAACGCTCCATGGCGCTGGTGAAATTTTGGTACTCTATGTCCGCAATGTGCTCCACGAGCACGCGCTCCAGTTGCTCTTTCGGCAACAGCTGGAAGCCAGCCATTTCGCTTTTAAAACAAATGAAACATAAATTAACCAAAATATATATGTTTTGGATTGCGGTGCACCTACAGTTTTTGGTTCTCATCCGGCTTGTTTCCGCGCCGCAGCATGCGCTCTTCCAGATCGTTTAGCTTATTTGTTTCCGTCACAATATCCTGTCAAAAGGTTTTCATTTGAACTTTGCTTATTTTAATGACAAGTGCTAAGAGCTTACGTGCAGCAGCTGGAAATAGTTGGGTTTGCCAGTGTAAAACATGCTGTGAAAGGGGCGACCCGTCTCATCGAACTCGGCTGCTTTTCGCGCTGGGAACACCTCCTCGGGCGATCTCATGGAGGGACGAGCGCGTTTGTCAAACAGCCCGGAAGGAAACAGATAGTTAATGGCTTCCTGCAAGTGACGAATGGCTAGGGTAAGAAACTCCAACGATGCTTTAATATACTCACATCAATGTCCTGTTGCGTAAAGGTCTCTGCGTCGGCGCCCATCATGTTGGCCAAATGGCGCTTGCCAATTTGGAACTCCAAATGCTGTGTTTTCATAAACTCGTCGTGCTCATTAGCCCGCTCCAGGTAGGCCTTCATGGCCTTGCTCACCTTTTGCTTCTGAACCGCCGCCGGCGTAGCCTGTACAGTTACCTGTGTGGCGTATGGCGCCATCGCAACCTACATAAATGTTATGCAAACGAGTCGGTGAGTTGTTTGTCCAACCTCAAATTGCGCCGTTAACTCAATGCGAAGTTTGGCGAGCGCCAACTTACCGCGTGTGCATTGGGTGCTCCATTGTTTTTGACAGCTGTTTGGAGCAAATTTCTGTTAGTTTTTATTAAATTTAAGCCTAAAACACGCAGTGACATAGTTCTTGTATTGTCGCACCGTGTGGCAGGAAGAGGAAGACAGTAGTCAGCTGTTTGGCGGCTCCAGTGTTATGCAGTGCCACAAAAACTAGGTGGCAACCCTTGTGTGACGATTTTATGGGCGCCAATTTTAAACACAATTCTAGCTTGACAAATTTGCTGCAGTATTAATGCAGAGCTGTGGAAAGTCCTCTGAAAAATGTTGTCGTCCTCGACAATCTTGAGCTTGATCCAAAGATTTTTCATTATAGCGAGGGTACAATGGTTATAAACTTTGTCACAAAAATTCCGATTTGCATGAGTTTTAGTTTTTAAAATATATATATATATTGATTTGCTTAATATTGAACACAAGAATATTAGGGAACAATCTGCAAACAATATGTTGTGTATGTAAATTTTCGAACACAATTAAAACACAACAATTTACCTTTTGGCCTTCTTACAAATGTTTTTTATTGACTAATTTGAAAAACACACAATGCTGATATTTTGAAGTATGGAAAGTAAACACAAAACGAAACGAAAAAAAATGCAATGAAAACTTCAACAGTTAATTACTTGTTTTTACGCTATATATATATATTTATAAATAATTGCCTAAGCTTAGAGAAAAGAATTGTTATCAATTGCATTATTGGTTGAAACGCAGCTACTTCAATTCATTCTCTTCGGTCTACTCCACTTTTCTTCATGTTATTATTTTTGGTCGTAGTACAATTTACATAAAGCAATTAAATATTTATATAATAATTCCACTTCTATTTCCACGCCTGTTTGAGCAACTTACGCGACGCTAAATGCCTAACAATCAAAGAGCCCGAAGTGAGCACGACTAGCACTATGGAAATTAATATATAGTCAAAATCCTCTTTCAGCAAATCGAACGTTTTTGATGGCGAAACGCGCGTAACGAACAAGTCTGCAATAAAAACTTAATTAGTATTGATTGATGCATTTAATAGCATATAATTTACCTAAGCCCGTGGCCACAACTAGACAGGTACTCTCCAGACCGCTGGGTGCCGTATAAATATTACGTAAACGTGCAACCGTCTGATTGTAATTTATATAATTTTCAGTTGGCAAAGGCAACTCAGGTATATAGGGAATGGCGCCCTCTTCGCGACCCTGCGTTGTGGATGATATCGGACGACGTGGATCCAGCAAATGCCAGGGCATTTCAACAATGCCGCCGCTCGCAGTACCAACTAGTTAAATAAGGTTTAAATAAATCAAAACTAACGTCCAGGATTATAATATACGTTGTCTTACTTAGGACATGCTTGTTGGTAATGCCGCGTTCGGTGATGGTCTCGCGCATTGCCTCCACAATTGTGGGTATGATGTAGGATTGACGCTCCACGAGCGGCATGGACGGTGCCTGCAAGGAGCTCCAGACGCTATTGTTGGCCTGCGCATTGCCCTCATACAGTTCAATCGTGGCTGTTTTAAGTACAAGACTGTCTTTGAGGAAATTACCATTGAATGGGATTGCATTTCACTTACTGATCTCAGTTCGTCGCACTTTATCGTTGAAATAGGAATAGGCTAGCCAATTCTCCGAGTGTACAATGTGCAGCGGGGGACGAACCTTACGATGCGTCATCGAGAAGATGACAGAGCCAGACACAACATCAATTAAGTACAAATTGAGCACCGCTAAATACAATTAAAACAAAAATTATATTTAAGAATTGCAGGTGAAGTTTCGATCTGGCTTGACCTACATTTGTGGGCGGCATCTGGCGCCTGTGTAACGAAGGCAACTAAGTTGGGATTTATATATTTATAGAGCACCGAGCGATCGCCTAGCACACGGCCCTGCGAGTGCACGTGCTCAATTGGATTTTTGCTAGCAACTTTAATGATTTGTTGTTCTGAGTTGTGACCGCCCAGACGCACATTCCAAATGGGCAAGCATGATAGCTCCTGCAAGAGTAAAAGTTGACTTAGAGCTTCGAACTTTGTATCATTTACTTACACCGCCCGCATATTTCACAAAATAGCCCTCGAGCTCAGCGGTCTTCACATTAGCTGTGTATAGATACATGCCATGTGCCTGCAATAAAAATCCGGGTAAAAATTTAACCAATTGAAGACATGGTTCAATTTACCAATGGAGTCGCATGCTTAGGCTCGACATGTACTCGGTTGGTGCCATCCAATATGAGTATGCCCTTAACGAAGTCTTCTTCTGTTTCGGGAAGAAGCGCTAACTGCTTAATTTGGTAATCCAGTTGGAGCAGTCCACCTTCGGCAGCGCGTCCTGTGATCGGGTTGAATCGAAATAATACACCGTTGCTATTAACCTGTCGGGAAGATAGTTATAAGAGCTTTCCATAATGCTAACAAACTCTATTTTAAACATACCGCAGACTTAGCAACTATTGCGCAAAGCGGCTGCAATGGAAAGTGTTTGGAGCTTCGCTGCACAATCAGACGCATCTGCTCGGCATTCTCAAAACCCGCTACATTGGGCAAATACAGCTTCCAATGATGCTTGCCGGCAATGTTGTCGACGCCAAAGATTTTGCCCGAGCGCGTCAGCAGCACCAGCATCTTGTGAAGTCCAAACGAATCGCGCACAAGTCCAGCCTTTTGCGTATCCGTTGGGGGTGGGCCCAGTCCGATGACATGCAAGAACAGGCTCTTCATTTGCAGTGCTTGCGTGGTGATACGCCGCATAAAGGCGCTGGCAATGTCACCTAACGAGACGAGATAACGATCTTTTAAAAAAACAGTCTAATTGTCCTTAAATGAATATAGTTATAAATGTATACCTAATTGTGCATAAACATAAATGCGTGTTATTAATGTTTATGCTATTTGAAGTATTAATTTTTAACAGTTACCCTTACCTAACTTTTACGTACATGTGTTACTAATGTTTATGCTCTTTGAAGTATTAATTTTTAACAGTTACCCTTACCTAACTTTTACGTACATGTGCGTTCTTTATACCCAAATATTTTTGAATTATACCACGAATATATTTTATCAAAATTTTTGCCATAGTCGGCTTTAAATATGTTAAACAACTTACTATTTAAACTGTGTGCATCCACTTTTGTAAGCATTAATAAAGTATATGAGCAGAGTTTGGCTTAATTTGATTTATATTTAGTATTGTAGTAGAGCCTTACCTGCTTTGCCCTTCATTTCGTTCTCAAGCGTGCCCTCAGTATCGGCTAAAGGTAAATCAATGAACTGCGTATCAATAACGTTCGCCAATGATTCCTCGCGTGCCCAACGGACACGTCCTTGCTGCACGGCAACAATGGACTCAGCGCTGGTGGCAAAAATAAAGAGACAATTTTTTCCGTCGCCATTGCGCTTCGCCTTGCAGTCAAAGGATCGTAGACTGGGCGTTCCAAAGTCTTCCGCAAACGCTACGCTCTGCTGCAGCTCAGGCACGGGCGTGCAGTTGTCCACATAAACAGCATTAATTTTGAGCACCTGAAAGTAACCCGAATTAGTAAAGGCATCTTCTAGGTTGTTCAACTAGAGTTACTTACGCCATCTACCAAATCGGCATAGGCCAGAACTTTGCGTAGATTAAAGCTGCCGACCAGATAACTGGCGCTTGTCAGTTCGGAGCACACGGCCTGATCCTTGTTAACACTTATGAGTTTTTTATCGACAATCAGCAAGCCGTTTAAGCCCTGCAAGAACGTGGTCAGCATGATAATCAATTATTACTTTTGGATATAACTTACCGGTAGAGATTGAATTTTGCTGCTGGGTTCGGCTCCTAAAGGCGTGGCAATGACCTGCGTGCTCTTGGCCACCAAATCCAGGCTTATGAGCTGCTTGCCATCCAAGCAAACATAGAAGGTGCCGCTTAGCAAACAGCTCTCCGGCTTAATCCAAGCGGCCATTATCTTGCTGGTGCTGCCCGTTGTGTGTCCCGAGGTTGCAAAGTATGCGGTTACCTCGATATGGCTGCGCCAAACGGGAACGACATGATAGAGCACAGAATTGCTATAGAACCAGACCGCATCCTGTGCTCTTTCCGTATGCAATGGCATTATGGACCATTCCCATTCGATTGTGCCAATATTGGTGTTCCAGCCGCGCACCAGAGCCGGCGCGTGGCCCTGCACAGTTAGCATATCAAAGCCAAGATGTGAGCCCATCGGAGCCGCCGCCGTGTCGCTGCTATCGTCGGCAAAGCCGCTTACTTGCAGCAGCTTGATGTCGCCACGCGGCTTCTGCTCTAGCACCTGTCGCCAGATAATCTCACCGGTCTTTGGACATAACGAGGCAACCACTTGCTCGTGCGTGCTCAAGAGTACGCGCGGTTGAAAATGGTTGAGATCGACGTGAACTTGTTTAAGAGCGCCCAGATGAACGCTTCGCCTGAAGAAAGAAAGAAAGTTAGTTAATGGTCAAAAGTCAATGTTTGCGACACTTGCCAGTCGAATTTCTTAATCTGGTCCTCGTAAAGGCCAGAGCAGGTGCTCAGCAGCAGCAGCAGCAGCAGCGAGAGGCAGATAAGCGTACCGGCTGAAGACTGTCGACAAGCCATTTTTGTGCGGTTCGCTTTGAAACCTGCTTTAAACTATATTAGGCACGAATAACGCAGTGGCCGACACGTTTTTAAGTTATAAATTAATGAAAACGTCAGTAATTTGTGTTTTCCGTCATAGTAAAGGGGGATGAGATGACAATTTTTGCAGGGCTGTAGTTGCCTAAGCGTATCGTCATCGATAATTCCAGCAAACGTTGCTCAGCACTGCTGTGACCTATCGATAAGAAATCGGCCGATATTTAAATATGCTAACGGCTACAATCGAATTTACAAACCACTTTCACAGTCTGGTTTAGGCTCGAGTATTTTTCTTTTAAAGAATATGCCTTTTAACGGACATCATTTTCTATGGTATTTTAAATAATAGTAATAAAAAAAGCTTTTTTGCCAAATCAGACTTGTCTTGGGCTTGGAAAAACCGTGAAAGACAGTTGACAGTTTCGAGAAAATCATCCCATTTGGCTGAAAAATGGTTTTAAATAGTTTTACGGACAAAAGTATATTTTTCTGCTACATCACGCGACTAAAATGCGCTAATTCGATTTACACTGAACTAATTTTAAATTTAGCTATGCTTAGTTCTGGAGGGTACGGATAAATTTGTAGCGCCTGGGAAACGGGTGGAAAACTGTCTAACATCGAAAATGGGAAATCCAAGCAAGTACTTATAAATACCACTAGATAAATAAAAAAAAAATACACCTTAATTAAGTTGATCGTATTGGATAAACATTTTAATCAAAACTGAAGCATTTGTCAAATTTATTTTTATTATTAAAACATTTCCAATAATCAATATTTTTCCAAGTCGTCGCAAATGTTCGACTTGAAGGGATTGTATATTGAAAATCGAATTGCTTGATAATAAAATATGTTGATTTCAAATTTCGCGACAGGTTTTTGTTTTCGATCTGTGCTAATCTAGAAATGAAGCGATGCATGGAAATTGCCGAGCACCTTGGCACTGTGTCATTGAGCTGTTGCCAAAGATGCTTGGGCTAAATGTCTTTTTTTTTTATTGGCATTCATATTTTACGTAGTTAAACAATAAATTGCAACAAAATGTATAATAATAGTTGGCCATTCGTTGGCAATATTGATGGCTATTTCTTTTGTACAAAAGTTGGTCAATTTGCAGGCGAAGAGAGAGAGAGAGAGAGAGACAGATAGCTTTTCACTAAATCTAATATATATGCATAGAGTGTATAATTTGAGCTTAAGTATAACTGGAAAATAATTCAAAATGGAAATGGATGCAAGCTCCATCTGGGTGGGGCGTTAAATGCAATTAGCTGCAGCTACATTATTTGTGACAGGCTTTATACTGCAAAGTTATATTATTATTCGAGCTATGCGAGTAAATTGTCTACCAGCTTAGCTCGTCCGGCAGTCCGCCAGGATATTCGCCCGTCAGACAGGCGGTGCAATGACCCGTCGCCTTGCCAGATGCCACATGCTTGCGCTGCACCGTCTGTACCAGGCCGGCGACACTCAGATATGCCAGACTGTCGGCGCCCACATGACGGGCCAGTTGCTTGGCGTTCAGCTTGTTGGCGATCAGCTCCTCGCGCGTGGGTATATTGATGCCCATGTAGCAGGGATACTGCAGCGGGGGGCTGGCGATGCGTATGTGCACCTCGCGGGCCCCAGCGTCGCGCAGCAGCTTGATTATTGGTCCGATTGTGTTGCCGCGCACAATCGAATCGTCGATGAGCACCAGCCGCTTGCCGGCCACGTTCTCGGACAGTGCGCCGAACTTCTTGGCCACGCCCAGTTGGCGCAGCCGTGTCGAGGGCTGTATAAAGGTGCGTCCCACATAACGATTCCGGCACAGAACCTCGGCGAACTCGAGGTTCGACTCGCGCGCATAGCCATGCGCTGCGGCCGTGCCCGACTCTGGCACTGAGCTGACAATGTCTGCTTCAACGGGTGCCTCGCGCCACAGCTGGCGACCGCACTCCAAGCGCACTGAGTACACCATCTGATCCTCGAAGATGCTGTCGCCGCGGGCAAAGTACACATACTCAAAGATGCAGAAGGCCATGCGCTTGAAGTCCGGACGCTCCACAATGTCAACGGTGCGATAGCCATTGCGTGTCAGCTCGACAATCTCGCCCGGCTCCACTTCGCGCACATAGCGCGCACCAATGGACAAGAAGCCGCAGCTCTCGCTGGACACCACCCAGCCATCAGCAGGTGTCTCCGTGCTGTGGCCCGCATGGCCCGTGTTGATGGGCACGATTTTGCCAATGCACAGCGGTCGGTTGCCGTACGTATCGCGCACAGCGTAGATCTTATCCGTGAGCATGATGACCAGCGAATAGGACAATGGCGCCAGCATCATGAAATGCCGAATGCGCGCCGGCCAGTTGGGTCCATCGTGCTCGGAGACGCCCTCCGGTGCACAGCAAAGCGACTGAGCTATCAGCTCGCTGTCGCTGTGCGTGGACAGGCCGACGCCGCGGCCCAGCACCTCGCGACGCAGAGATTCATTGTTGACCAGCTCGCCGTTGTGGGCCAGCGCCATGGCGCCATGCGCCGTGTGCACCACAAACGGCTGGCAATTGACCACCTCCGAGGCGCCGGCCGTGGAGTAGCGTGTATGCCCAATGCCCAGATTGCCACGCAGCTTCTTCATCGAATCGTCGTTGAACAGGGTGCTGATCATGCCCATGCCCTTGTGCACATTGAAGTTCTTGGAACACTTGCCCTCGCTGGTCGCAATGCCCGCCGACTCCTGCCCACGGTGCTGCAATGCCACCAGACCCAAGCAGATCACGTGAGCAATATCAATCTGGGTTGGCCAGTCGCCGCAGGCAATCGCACCAAAAACGCCGCACTCATGCGTCAAACCGGTTAGCTCCTTACTTTCAGCAATGGTCAACGGCGTGGGCAACTCGGCCTCCACCTGTTGATCGCGGCTCTCAATGCGCACATGTTGCTGCTGCTGCTGCTGCGGCTGCTGCTGCGAATTGTTGCTGCTGCTGCTGCTGCTTGACATGTTGCTGCTGTGTGGTGAGGGGTGGTTATTGTTAACCAGCTCGGTTAATGGAAGGCTTTGATCTGATTTACCTGTTGATTTATGCAACGGTTTTATATACACAAATCTTCGCTTCACACACGCAGGCAACTTACCGCGATCATTGGCAAAAGCTAGAGATCGATGATAATATCGATAGCAGTGTAGATAGTAGTATCGATAGTTCTTGGTTCTCCATATGCCTCGCATGTCGGTAATAACGGAAAATCGTGCACTCAATAATTTAAATTATATATTTAAATTTAATTGAATCTTTGCTTATTTGAATGTCTGCAACAACGGGAAAAGCTTTTTATTTTTATTAATAAGATCTCAGAAAGCCTACATCCTTTGTTGATGTTTGTCCACACTGTTCATATTTTGTATTATCTGTTATTTATATTGGATCAGTCCACTTAGTCACATACTCGTTGGAATAATCTTAAATATTTTGATGAGCTTGAAGAACCCGTTCTTTAAAAGTTTGTTCATCTATTTAATATAAACAAATTTTATGAGTAACTTACTTCCCGCCCAATGCTTTATAAAATTGTACAACACTGACTGCAATAAGAGGATCGATTTTCGTGCGAACTAGCAGTTCGATAGTTCTTTTGAATGAACTACAAGAAATTCCTTGTCACTTAATTATTTTCTCTAAAACTTAACGATTAATTTTATTTATTTTGCATGCTTAATGTGATGTTGAGCATTATTCTATAAATTTATAACTCTTTCGAGAAATTAAGGTTCAAATACATGGCTAATCTTGTATGGGTTGTCAACAGGGTTGCTATATTTTTCGCATATATCTGTAGAACGTTAAGATCGATTTGAACCAAACTTTAAAGTTTGTTACATTTTGGCCTTAGATATCCAAATAAATACATGATGTATGATATTTGATTCCGGTTCCGGAACCAGGTTCCAAATATTTTCGCTGCTACCGATGCTAGCTTGACGCACTTGCATTGTTCAACACTGTTACTTGCAAAACAGCTGAGAATTGAAATTGTTTTCGTTTGCACGTGTTGAAACCGAAAGCATTTGCATTGTAGCATAAACAATTGATTTTAAATTACAATGATGACGCTGTCGTCTAACCAGAAGGCGCCTCCAGCCGCTGATACGTCCTCGGACAGTGGAGAAGAATGCGAAGTAAGCGCGTGCAACAGCGAAGGAAATCCCGCCTGGGCAAGAACAATTGCCAAATTGTTGAAACAAAATCCGCCGGAGAACCAAAAGCGAACGGTGCTATCTCGGGCTAAGAAGTTGAAGCCCAACAATGCTCAGGTCAACAAAGCTAAGAAAACGTATGACTTTGAAATCGATGGAACCGAAGTCGAGCCCAAAAAGGGCAAGGACATCAAGAAAGAGCAGCCGTCCGAACTCGATGCTCACCTGACGAGTCAACAGCGCAAGAATGTGCCGCTGCAGCTGCGGGTCAAACCAAATGCACAGGACCTGGAGCGAGAGCGCAACTTGCGCAAGGTGGCAACAAGGGGCACGGTGCAGTTCTATAATGCGGTGCGCATCCAACAGAAGGAGCTGCAACAGCAGCTGGAGGATGCCGGCCCGCTGGACAGTCGCAAGGATGCGGTGCTTAACAACATTGACAAAGGCAAATTCCTGGACGTATTGATGAGCGGCAAGCGTGCCAGGTCCGAGGCCATAGACAATAGGGTCAAGAAAGAGGAGCTGGAGTCGGCCTCGGATGATGAGGACTCAACAGGTGATGAAATGCCAAATGACGCGGGCAACAAAAAGAAGTCCGAATGGAATGTGCTGCGCGAGGACTTTATGACCAACAAGAAAATCAAGCACTGGGATGAAGAAGAAGAGGAACAAGATGATGATGAGAAGGCGGATAGTGACGCCGCGGAAAGCGAAGAAGATTAGTATATAAAGGTTTCTGTGCTAGTTCTAGTTTTTAATAAAATTAGTTAACACATCAATTGTTCATTTGATCATTTCTGCATTGGAGGTCATGTATATGCCAACAATTAAGCCAAATAGTCCAATTGCGGAACCAAAGATTTCAACAATCAGTATCTTGACAAACAATGCCGAATTGGCGGCATCCGAGAGAGCTGCGCCCGAGCCCACAATCCCAACGCAAATGCCACAGCTGAGATTGACCAAACCGACTGCCAGTCCGGCGCCAAATGTTGCAAATCCCGTGAACATATTTTTGGCCATACTCTTTCGGTTGTTGATCACATGATGCATAACATAGGTCTGCAGATTGCCCGAGAACACAATGGAGCTGATCAGACCGTAAATGGCCACCGCTTCGCAGAATATTACCGAGATGAGATTCTTGGTACGGATACGGGGCGAGCGGACGCCTCCTCCGACCACGCTGGTGCCGGTTATATATATGCCCATGGCAGCACCGACCACGGATAGCGAAACGCAGAGTCCAACGCCGAGGCCAGCCCACATGTGCGGATTGGTTGTGTGCAGGAACCAGCTTAGACCAGCCCGTTCGCCTAGGCCGGTCATGAGGTTTCCAAAGATGAAGGCAATGCAGACGAAAACAAATATGCCGAAGAATATAATAAAAATTGTGCATAAGCGCATTTTTGCTATTTCACGTTTTAATCTCAAAGAATTAATGTTTTTTTCGTGCTTATTTCTCAACTGTCAGAATTGTATTCAAAATAATTCGTTAAATTTGACCGACAGTGTGACGTCACAAATTCATTGCGGTGCTGCTAACTCGCTAAGCGTCGTTACGTTCAACTTAACGACTCATTCGAGAATACAGACAATGTTTTTCGTTTATTATAAAACAAATTTCATTGACATTAATGTTTCTTCGATTGCCGACTGCGAAGTGAAACTGAGTTAATCTCAATGAATTAATGTTTCTTTATGCTTATTGCTCAACTGTCTGAATTGAATTCAAAATAATTCGTTAACTTTGAACGACCGTTTCTACGTCTTGGCCGTGTGACGTCACAAATTCGTTGCGGTGCTGCCAACTCGCTAAGCGCCGTTGTGTTCAACTTAACGGCCCATTCGAGTATACAGACAATGTTTTTTGTTTATTTTAAAATTAGGTATTTTTCTTTACGTTTTAAATAATATTTAATTAAAATTTAACGATTCGACTTGGCAACGCGTTCAAGTTCATCTTTCTTCTTGATAGCATACGAATTGGATGAGCCCTTAGCGGCGTTAATCATCTCATCGGCCAGACACTCGGCTATAGTCTTAATGTTGCGAAAAGCGGCCTCACGAGCTCCAGTGCAAATCAGCCAAATAGCCTGCGGCATTAGATAGATTAGCTAGTTAGTTAAATTGATTTGCTGTGATATGCTTAAGCACTTGCCTGGTTGACACGACGCAATGGCGAAACGTCCACAGCCTGGCGACGCACAGTTCCAGCGCGACCAATGCGTGTGGAGTCCTCGCGCGGTCCAGCGTTGACAATCGCATTTACCGTAACCTGCAGGGGATTCTCGGAGGTCAGCAAATGGATTATTTCGAATGCATGCTTCACAATGCGACAGGCAAGCAGTTTCTTGCCATTGCTGCGACCCTTCATCATCAGGCCACAGGTCAAGCGCTCCACAATGGGGCACTGGGCCTTGCGAAAACGTTTGGCCGCATAACGTCCGGCCGAGTGCGGCAGATAGCGTGCAAATTTCTCCTTGACAGCGATATAGTCTTGCAAGGATATGTCACTGATGGTAATGTCATCGCAGCTCCAGCGACCAAATATTTTTATTTCGGGCCACTCGTTGACCGGCACCGGTTCGTTAAATTCATTCGGATCGTTTTCCTCCCAAACGGCATCTTCTGCTTGATGCTGGTTTTGGTCCTGCAGCTGTTGCGCCTCTGAATTCTCGTAGCCGGGCTCGTATGGACATTCGCCGTAGTCGGACATATCGATATACTTGCTGCGTTTAAAGTGCACATATTCTATTACTGTTCATGTTTGACAACAGTTTAGAAAACTTACTTCGTTTTCCAGCAGTAAATGGGAAAAGTGCGACCGCTTCCGTTGAAAGGAAAATACAAAAGAGATTGATTAAGCTGCCAGTGTGGCTGTATTTAACAGATGAAATATTACCAAGCTCCTCTGAAATCTCTGGCAGCTTTGTTAATAGCTGCTGAATTATATATACAGGCATTCCTGTAGCCGTTTTTTTATTTCAAATTCAATTTCAAAAAAACTCAAAATGCACAAATCAAATATTGTATAAATCACTTTACGATGTACGTGCTGATATTTTTCATTTATGCATTTTGCTTGACTTGCTTTTTGTTGCATTTCATGTGTACATCGACAATGCGACGGGGGTTGTTTATTTTTTTGCGAAGTTAACAGCGAAGTCAAGTTCAATAGGTTTCCAACAGGACTGAAAAAACGTAAAATAAGACTGGCTAGTTCGATTCACGGCTCAGATTATGTTTGTGGATCTGTTTCACTATTCCAGATTTTGTTCAATTTCAATTGAATTTCAAATTTTCCGTTATACCGAAAGTATTTTTCAACACACGTTTCCCGCCAAATTCGAATTCAAATTTGGATTCCTGTCAAATATAGTTTGATAAATGTTGATTTGGGCTGGGCGTTGCTCAAATGTTTTGTATTTTGACCGAATCGTTCTGGTTGGGGTTTCGATTTGGTTATTTTATCGGATTTGGTGTAGGGTTCAATTCCGGACATTTCTTGAAATAATTTAAGTTGGATCAGTCGGTTAAGGGGATTATTTAACAAAACATGTATTTAATAGTTTTTATATGGAATACTTTCTATTATAATAATAATAATAATATTGTGTGTGCAGTTCTATAACTTCTGGTTTAACAGTAGCATAAAATACACAGTTTTATATTTATTATTTGTAGTTGTAGTTAATATAATACATTTTTTGTTGTTTAAGAAATACAAGTGTGCCAAAATTGAACAAATAATATAAACATCTATACACTATATACTTAGATCATAAACACACACGTTTGTCATTTGCACACATGCATATCAAATTGTTAACTATATTAAAAACAAATTAACGTAATTTTTACACGGCGCACATTCAACGTTTGATGCTGAAAATAAACGAAAAACGTGCGCAGCGTAAAAATTTGCAATATTTAACTTTTCAACTTAAGTAACTAAAGTCCCATGTTGTCGTGTTCGTAGCGTAGGCTAGGATTATCTTCTGAAACTGTAACTGCGTACGAGTTGTAATTTCCAAAAAAAAAAAAACGAAGGAACACAGTTGTTGTTGTGTTTTTAGTTGTCGGAATGGCTTGGTGACTGATAAATGTTGTTTTTGTTGTTGTTGCGGGTTGATGGGGCGCGTGACACAATAGCTGCAAAAGTTTTTGTTGAGCGGAATATTGTTTAAATAACTGAATACATACACTGCGATTTGCGAGCGGTCTGCTGCGTCCACTTAATCCTTATCGCCCATTTTGGCCTTGGATGTCATATAGATGCCCACAATCAGGCCAAAGAGTCCAATGGCCGAACCGAAAATCTCGACAATCAGAATCTTGACAAACAGCGCAGCATTCGCTGCATCCGAGAGCGCAGCGCCGGAGCCCACAATGCCGACCGCAATGCCGCAGAACAAGTTGACCAGGCCAACGGCAAGACCTGCACCAAAAATCAAATAGCCCGAGAACCAATTCTGGTTCATGACGCTCTCGCTGGCTAGCGCCGATTCCATTTTGAACTGCTCCAGCTGGCCGGAGAGCACAATGGCCGTGATCAGGCCGTAGATGGCGACGGCCTCACAGAAGATGACCGAAATCAGATTCTTGGTCTTAATGCGTGGCGCCTTAACGCCGCCGCCCACAATGCTGGTGCCCGTGGTATGTATGCCAAGGGCGGCGCCAACAACGGACAGGGAGACGGATAGACCGATGCCTAGGCAGGCCCACATGTACGGGCTAGAGGAGGCCAGGAACCAGCCAACGCTTACGCGTTCGCCCTTGCCAGTCATAACAAAGTAGAGAATAAGTATGGTGGCGGCGGCGAGGAAGAGCCATAGAAATGTTTGTGTTACGACTGTGCGTATTTGTGGCGCCATCTTGCACGTTTTTTTGTCTGTCTATTGTTAAAAAACACTGCATAAATTGTGATTTTGCAATCAATTCAAGTGGTATTTACCTAATTGCAGGCGTAATTGTATTTTTCTCGGCCGACAGGTGACTGCTTCGTGCGAAAAAAAGAATCCACAATCACATGACGTACATTTTCTCTATCATATGGTATCGAGTAAATCACGCTAATCGATACATATTCGATATAAGGTCAAGTGTCAAAAAGCGAATAAATGTAATCGCTGATGTACTCTATGCAAAGCTGCTTGCTAAACAACTCTGCGAGTTAGGCTAATTGCCCAAGCTGATCACAGATGGCGCCAGTGTGCTGCGCGCGCTATTTCAAATGGAGAAAAAAAACAAAAATAACAAAAATTGTATATAAGAAACTGTGCACGGCACTTTCATGCTTATGCTCTATAAAGTTGAGCGCAAATTACATGTATATTTTTATATTTCATTTTTATTATCTCTGTCTGCGGCTCAATGATTCGCCGCCGCCTACCAGGTGGGCGGCCACAAAAACGAACAAGTTATTATGTCAATGCTTTTATTTTATATTTTGCATTGTACGCATGAAAGACTTCCGGCCAGCAAAAAGGCCCGCGACATTTACAGCTCATTGAATTGACCAGGTTGCCGGCTCAGCGGGAGAGCACGTTTAACAGCGGCCACGTGATGGCAACATAATCTAAAGTCGCATCATCATTAAATATTTACACTACATTATAATTTTTGTTCTTCTTGAGGCGCGTGCCCGGCAAACACAAAGGAGTTTGTGCCCCGAAAAATGCTCTCAAATATTATTGTTGTGTCGTGTGTCGACAACCACAACATTCAATTAAACGTAATGTGTTGTTTGTTGTCCCTCCAAAAAGGCGGCTCTCTCTCTCTCTCTCTTTCTCTCTTGATAATAAATGTAAACTTTCTCACTGGAAAAATCCACCACAGCATAAAGAGTCAAATAAAACCAGAGTCCAAATATAAGTGGAGATTGAGAGGGTGAGAGGGGGGGACAGTAGACGACACGAGGAAATGTGCTGCTGTGGGGTTGGTTTGGGTGGTCATCGCCGTGTGTCTCAAGTCAAATATCACAAGAAAAATCCATTAACCTGCGTTTTTTCCTCTTGACTTATTTTCGGTGTGCGCTTTATCTCTGGGCCCGACACGCTTCTTGTTTATCCGCACACATCTAGGCAAATGGCACTAGCCCCAAAAAAGGTGGAAGGGCGGCAACGGGGCGATTTCAATTACAGTCGAAATGCTTAAAATTTAAATTAAAAAGAAAGGTTGAAGTTATAGGGACTTTAGAACTTAAACCAAGTATATAAGGACAAACAGTGTAGCAGACAAATGCCGCTGGCGAGGTAAAACACAAAATCGTCACGACACGTCATGCTCATGCGACTGTCCGATCGCGACTGACTCCGTAGTTCGTTGTATGCTGACAGACTAGCGCAGAGGTGTTAGGCAGCTTATGCATGTGTGAGTGAGGCAAGCAGTAATTGGACTGGCCGAGCTCATTTGCGAGAGTTAGAGTGCGAGCGGAACAGAAGAATTGAGCGAACTTGAGCTGAATGTGAAATTGTTGAGCTTTGCCTTGATTATGGGTTTGCATGTATGTGTGGGTGTAGATGCATTTATTCTACTGTAAGAGTTATGTATGTCTGTATATACATGTATTTATCCAACTACAACCGTTAAACTAATACACCCTGTTTCACAGTGTGAACAGGGTATTTCTTGAACCCTGCTAATTCGTAATTGTTCAATTATTTGTATATAAGGACAAACAGTGTAGCAGACAAATGCCGCTGGCGAGGTAAAACACAAAATGGTCACGACACGTCATGCTCATGCGACTGTCCGATCGCGACTGACTCCGTAGTTCGTTTTATGCTGACAGACTAGCGCAGAGGTGTTAGGCAGCTTATGCATGTGTGAGTGAGGCAAGCAGTAATTGGACTGGACGAGCTCATTTGCGAGAGTTAGAGTGCGAGCGGAACAGAAGAATTGAGCGAACTTGAGCTGAATGTGAAATTGTTGAGCTTTGCCTTGATTATGGGTTTGCATGTATGTGTGGGTGTACATGCATTTATTCTACTGTAAGAGTTATGTATGTCTGTATATACATGTATTTATCCAACTACAACCGTTAAACTAATATACCCTGTTTCACAGTGTGAACAGGGTATTTCTTGAACCCTGCTAATTCGTAATTGTTCAATTATATTGTTATGTCGTTAAATTTATTATAAAAAATGATTCAAATTTGTCAAAAATGCACATTTTGCTTTATTTATTTTTGTCGCTGAGTTTGGCAGAGTTTATTTTCTGGATTTTCGAAATCGCCTCGATTGTCTCCACTATGCTCTGAAGCTCTGCTTCGATTTGTAAAGACCGTTCGGTTAGGCTGTTACCGATTTGAAAAATTTCAAATAAATTTTTACCTATTTCCTATTTTCGTACCAAGCACTTACCGGGCCAAATTCTCGCGCAGAGACATCATTGTTTCAAATTTGGGCGGAGCATGTTTATGTCTGGGTCGTGAATCTGATCCGATTTCCTTCTCTGTAAGTAGAGGCACGGAAATCGGTATTCTGTCCTTTTTGCGTTGGCGCCAAAAGCAAAAATATTGTCGTAAGCCCTGGCCGAGCATATCCAAAACTTCCTGATCATTCACAATCAGTTTGGTCTTTACATCTGAATAGGCCGACAGATAAATGGCCAAAAATAGATTCTGCAAGAATTGCATGTAGATTTTGCTACTTTTTTTTTTCTTTTAGTTAATTTACGTACCACGGAAATGATATAGATGCTGAAGATAATGGCCAGAAAAAAGATCGGAGCAAGCACGGGCTGAATTTCATACATTGGCCAAAAGTCAATGTCGGACATATGAACCCGCATCAGGAACAGGATAGACTGATAATTGGAGAAAAAGTCTTCCAGAGAGTCGCCAAACAAAATGGTGCCCAGCTGGGCAAAGGCGAACACTGTGATCACATAGATGAAAATGAAGCCGAGAATGTTTTTACGGGACTGTACAAAAGCACAACGAAATAGATATGCGTCATTAGAGAAGAATAAGCCGGATAAGCCGGATAGTCTACTACCATTTTTAGGGCCGCCAAAAGCCTTTTCTGCGATCGGTGAAAGGATAGGAATCCGATCAGCTTGATCCAAACCATGAATTCCAGGATTGCCATCGCAATGATATATGTCTCCCAGCCAACAATTAAGCTATCCATATTGATGTAGCTGCTGTTATCTTTTGCATAGGCGCTTTTGATCCTTTCGATCTCGATGAAGTGCCAGATATTATACGCCAGCATATAGTATGACACCTAAATATTTGCAATGGCAGGACTATTTTGAAGGACTACAAAAGGAATTCCATCTATACGCACGAGCAAGAAAAGCAGGTCCGGATAATTGCGCACACGCTTAAAGTAAGCTTTTGGGCTGAGCCAAAAAATTTCGTAGACTTCCTGATACGTATAATAAATAATTATTGAATAGAAAATAATGCCGGCAATAATTCTAAGCGCGTCCATAAACAGAAAGCATTCCAGCAATACGCACTGAATGAACGCAGTTGGAATCACAAGACCCGTTGGCATTATTTCGAATATTAATCTGAAAGATGAATGAAAAATAAATAAAAATAAAAATAAAAATATAATAAAATAAAAGTAGCAGATGCCTTGAACCCAATCCAAAATCGTCTATTATACTGGATCACAAGCCTCTCTCTCTCCCTGTCTTCTATCTCTCTTATACAGATAGTACAGTATACTGTCTTATACAGACAGTCGAGTACTACTGGAACGAGATCCTTTTTTTCTGCCTACTTTACTAGCATATATATGCATCTCTCTCTTACAGACATGTACAGTATACTGGAACCGAGCTCAGGTATAAGCCTATTCTTTTTGCCTACTTCTCTCTTATATCGCTCTTATACAGACATGTACAGTATACTGAATCCGAGCTGAAGTACAACCGATGAGAGCCTATTTTTCGGCCAACATCACTAGTATTTCTCTCTCTCTCTGTCAATTACAACCGGAACGAGATACCTTTTTTCTGCCTATTTTACTAACATATATGCATCTCTTTTATGCACACATGTGCAGTATACTGGATCCGAGCTCAAGTACAATCCCATTTATTCCTTTTGCCTACTTCACAAGCCTCTCTCTGTCTTCTATCTCTCTTATACAAATAGTACAGTATACTGGATCTGTGAACTAGTTCAAGCGGAACGAGAGCCTATTTGCTGCCTACTTTACTAGTATTTCTTTCGCGCTCTCTCTCACTCTTATACATCTCTTATACAGACAGTACAGTATGTTGTCTTATACAGACAGTCAAGTACAACCGGAACGAGAGCCTTTTTTTCTGCCTACTTTATTGGTATTTCTCTCTCTCTCTCTCTTCGCCTCTCTCTCTCTCTCTCTCTCTCTTTCCCTCTCTTATATCACTCTTATACAGATCGATCGATTGGAACTTACTTAAGATTCTGAAACATTCGGTTGGCATCATAAAAGACGTTGAGCTCTATAACAAAGAGTCGTGTTCCTTGATCAATCCATCTGCTGTAATAAAGGGGCATCAGCCAGTTCTCCTTGGAAGTTTCGTTAATATTCAGGTCAATTGAAAAGCCGCCACCTTGGTAGACGCAATGCGGCGTCTGAATTTTCTTGGCATCTGCTTTGTAATTAATGCTAACATGGCGGGAAAATGGGATCAGGTTTAGAAAGGGAACTAAACTTGCATGTGCTGCCTATCCTTACCCGTTATGGGTGCCTTTGAATTCCATTTTGGATGAGTAGTCCGGGTAGCAGGGCCGCTTGTCCAGACCATCCGCTGTCAGTTTGTTCAAGCATTTCTTTAGAGGTTTGACGCGTATCTGTCGGATTCTCGGCACGCCCACAATCAAGCCCTCGCCAAATATGTATTCTTCTAATTTCGTATTCAACTGTTTCGCATAAATACTGGGTATAAAGTGCTCGAAGAGATATATCCAGATACCCTCTATGGTTAACGCATCCTTAAAATTGGACGCAAAATATTGCTGTTTCCGCATGTACGGCACCGTATTGATAAAAGTCTTCTCCGTTTGAATGTTGCTGTAATAAATGTACTTGGAACGCATCGATTCTGCGG